AGTGACTCTCATTTTGCGAACGAGTCCTTTTGGCTGCAGTTCTACATGTGTTTGTTTGTATGTGTGTGGGACAGGGTGGGGGGTGGGGGGAGGAGGGGGAAGAGAGGGATAGGAGGATAGAGGTTGAGAGAGAGAGAGAGTCGGTTTGTTTTCGTTGCAGTTTTGGGAGAGTCGTTTGGATGGTTGAACTGTATCTTGATTTTCGTTCATTTATTTATTTTCGTATCTTGATTTCCGTTCATTGATTTATTTTCGTGTTTTCGTTCAATCATTAATTCTTTAATGCAACTATTGGGTGATTTTTAAAAAAATAATTATCCTTAACATATTTCTTACATATGTTTTTTTTTTTTTTTCATATGTATCTTTTTTCTCCTTATTTTTCCACTTTTCTTATAATTCCTCGTATGGCTCAGGTATCTATGTTTGTGTTTGCGCGTATATGCTTTTTGTGTGAGATTTCCCGATTGTGTATGTAATCTCGAGCGTTTGTTCTCGTATCCACGTATGTTTTGGATTTAAACGTTTGTTTGTCTGAACGTCTTTGTGTGCATCTGTATTTGTTTGTTCTTGACTGTGTACGTCTTCTAATAAACCCTTTTTTTCCCCATAACAATGCCTTCACACGACCGAAAACGCTGTTACTACTTACATATCCCCTTTATCATCTTTCCTCGTAGATTAGTTTCTTCGTTTAAATCCTTAAAATCCACATATTCAACTTCTTCTTATCTGATCTTACACGTCGGCGAAAAAAGGCCCTGGGATTTGCATTCTATTAGTTTCTTCTTCTTAATTGCTCTTCCACGTTTCGCTTTTTTCTTTCTTTCTTTCTTTCTTTCTCTCTCTCTCTCTCTCTCTCTCTCTCTCTCTCTCTCTCTCTCTCTCTCTCTCTCTCTCTTTCACTCTCTCTCTCTCTCTCTCTCTCTCTCTCTCTTCTCTCTCTCTCTCTCTCTCTCTCTCTCTCTCTCTCTCTCTCTCTCTCTCTCTCTCTCTTTCTCTATCTATCTATCTATCTGTCTATCTCTATCTAACTATCTATCTATCTATCTATCTCTTTCTCTTTCTTTATTTCTTTTCTTTCTGTATGTGTGTGTGTTTGCTCGTTTCTCATTTATTGTTTAAGGTAGCCTCTCTCTGTACACATTTCACTTGTTCTTTATTGTTGTTGTTTGTGTCTCCTGATTTATCTTTCTTGCTCTCTACAATTATTTCCGTTCGTTCACTAATCTTATCTCTCCTCTCTATCTTACGCTCTCATTCTTAAGTGCTTACTCCCTTTTTTCATCTCTTTTTTTACTTTTGTTCTTTCACCTACAGTATTCTTACCTCTCTTCCCTCTTTCTCTATGTCTACCTTTCCATTTCCTTTTCCCTCTTCTTCTCTTCCCTCTCTCTCTCCTTCCTTCAACCTTCCCTCCCATTCTTAGTCCACCTTCCATCTCTTCTCGCCTCCCCCCCCCTCCCTTTACCATCCACGCCCTCCCTCCCTCCCTCCCTCCCTCCCTTCTCTCCCCTCCCTCCCTCCCTTCCTCCCTTTCCCCCTACACCCCCCTCCCCGTCCCTCCGACCGGTATCCATATCCATTTGACCTTAACCTCAGAGATCAAGGCATACCTCTTTCATACACCCCCCCCCCCTCTCTCTCTCTCCGTTCTTCTCCCTCCTCCCTCATGATCCCCCTCTCCTTCTCCTCCTGTTTTCTTATCGTCCCCCATCTCCCTTTCCTTCTCTCTCTCCCTTTATCCCCCTATCACTCTATTCCCCTTTCCTAATCGGCCTCTCACTCGATCCTCGCTCTCCCTATCACTCTCTTATCCTGTTACTCATCTCTTCCTCTCCCGACATCCTCTCCCCCCCCCCCCCCGCCCCAACTTCTTCTCCCTGTATCACCCTATCATGCTATTATCCCATCTCCCTCTCCCCCCTTCTCCCCCCTATCACCCCATCTCCCCCTCCCCCCTCTCCCCCTCTGCCTCCCTATCACCCCATCTCCCTTTTCTCCTAATCTCCCTCTCCCCCCTTTGACCTCCTCACCCCCCCCCCCCCCCTGTCTGCTGATGCCTCCTGCTGACTCGTCCCTTTGAGAGGCAACACCTTCGCTCCTGATTATCATGCCTTTCTTCGTCCATTATCTTCCTTATCTCTTTTTTTTTCTTAATTTCATTCCCTTCTTCGTCTTTTTTTATGATATGTGTACGTATAGATAAGTAGTAGGGAAGAGAGAGAGAGAGAGAGAGAGAGAGAGAGAGAGAGAGAGAGAGAGAGAGAGAGAGAGAGAGAGAGAGAGAGAGAGAGAGAGAGAGAGAAGGCGAGCAGATGAATTGACAAATAAAACGATAAAGAGGAGAAATACAGAAAAGAAAAAGACAAAAAAAATACTAACAAAGTCAAACAGTCAGATCTCACCAACTACGATTACGATTTTAATTTCCTTTTTTTTTTCTTTTCTTTTCCTTTTTAAACTGCCTTTTGCCCCGAGGCTCTCTTAGCAGGAAGCG